AGTTTCATAAGCTCACATTTAAAACACTGTGAAACAATACATTTCATGATAAGTGGAATGAATGGTAATCAACTCTCTCTCGCACACGCATATATATAAGTCAGCGGGTAGGGCGTTCGCCTTACAAGCGGCCAACATGGCCGACCCGAGTTCGATTCCTCCGCCCCTCTCAGAGAGCCCGGCAAGCTACCGAGAGTATTCGATATGCCAGACACAGTAACAACAAAGTCTCCAATGGAGACGTTACTGGGCCCGCTCGAGCAAATATATATATATATATATATATATATATATATATATATTTGGCTTTTCTGCTATACCGGCAGTGATCAGGGATTACTCCTAGCTCTGTGCTCAGAGATCATTCCTGACATTGCTTGGGACCATAGTGGATACTGGGGATCCAATCCAGAGGTGGCACATGGAAAGCAAGCGCCCTGCTGCTGTACACCTCTCAGGCAACCATATGCATAATTTCACTATTAACAGTTTCTTACTCTAATGATGCTCCATGCAGATATATATATTTTATCTCTGTGTTTTTCTTCTGGTGGTATTCATTGCACATAGTTTTACTTTGCTCTGTTTCATTGTATTTCTTAGCTATTTCGTTCATACCAGTTTTTATTACTTTAGCTCTTCTTATGGATTTTGAAACTCTGCCATCTTCACCTGAACAATAGAAGCCAAGTATTACAAGAAAATAGGACATCTCAATTCAGTTTGTACAAACTCAATAAACATCCTGTGGTTCTGCTGATTGTTCCTAACTTTCTAAAACATGAAATAGTTCTAAGAAAAAAGGCAGGAATTCTAGAATAACTACAATGCTGACATTATCTCTTGTCTTCATTCTGGCAGTCCTACAATGGTTCTTGTAAATAGCTTGGTTTGGCCATATCTTTAGAGCAAAAATGAAGCCACAGTTAATATTTTCCCAGATGAAAACAAAAAAAATTCTCTTGAGTTATCTAAGAGATTTTTTAGGCATCTGTATTTAAAAGTGTCACCTATATCTCTGAATTTAAGTTTATATGATATTGATTGTATTAGTAAGTAAAAGCTCTCTTGAATCGTAACAGTTATCTCTGATTCAATAATTTAACCCTGTAGATTTAGAATTGTTATATTATTGAAATTTTAAAATATAAGAAAAATATAATTCATAATATATTATGCAATTAAAAAGTACATATGAATGATAATTAGAAAATGCATGTGACAGCATAAATGTCAGTGAATTCATGCTTTATATTGATCAAAATATTTTAACATGGATTTTACTTATAATAAGTTGCTGCAGTGTATGTCAGAGATAGACAGTTTTCTAATTTTTAAACTTCAATACTTGCAATTATGAAGAAAGATCACTAACCATAATTCATAGCATACAGGGCTGGTTGATATTCAGATTCATAAACTAAACATAAATATTTAAAACATAGAAGTCTTTGTCTAATTTTTTTTGTTTCAGCAATAACTTTAAATTTAAATAGGTATGATTAGTTGGTACCTGTATTTTTAAATTTCTCTATATCCCTATCAAACAAACATTCATTCTTTTTTTTTAAAAAAAAAAGTGTGGTTTCTTTTCAAACTTTATGAGTGAGAAAACATTTCCCCATCTCATTTTTCATTTCATCAACTACTATTGACCCAAAGATGACCTTGCTGTCATCAAATCTTTCCTCTTTGTCATCAGCTTCTTATTGGATAAAAAGTAGGAGGAAAATCAATCGCGTGATACAAGTCACTTATAGTCTTCAGTTATTTATCTTGGGTCTTCTCTACAATTGAGTAGCCAACTCAGCCTTCTGCCAAGCAAGACCTGACAGGCACAAGGAAAAGGTAATAATATTGAAATGCCCAAAGAGAATGACTCCTTTTCATGGCAGTTGATAAGGACAGCACTAACGTTAATTTAGAACCACCTTTGCTTTCTTTTTGATTTTATGGGTGAGCTTGAACATGTCTTGGCATCCATTTGATATTGGTTTTAAACATGATACTGGTTTTAGATTCTAAATAGTGTCCTGAACAAGCTTATTTTAACTTTGCTCTTGGTAAAAGTCAAGATTTCATATTAGCTCAACTCATGAGGCTAGGGCAAATTCTGGAAGACCTTTAAGATGATGAAACTATTTCTACGGAGAAAATGTTGAAGCTAACTTTCAGAAAGATGGACATGTAGCAATAACTTAGATTAACCCAATTTCATTTAAAATTTTCTAACTATGTAATTCATAACTATTAGCCATGTTTTAAGAAATATTTTAAAATATGTCTCTTAAAACATCATGATAGTTGAAAAGCTGGAAAATTTCATAAATACTTTCTGCCTTAGCAAGCTATCAAGGCAAATGCAAGTACTCATTGGTTTAACCAATAAGTATGGTTTTATGAGAACTTCATGTTTAATATTAAAAAAAGAGGAATTACTATCAATTTAAAGTATTTGTATGCACATATGTGTGTTGCTAGCATTTTGTGTTAATTGAAAAGAATATGTGATTCACCATAGAAATGTCATTGTCATAATATTAGAGCTAATATATACTTATAATAAAATATTATTGTCTATATTATCTATACTATTTCATGAACATAAAACTTAGGAGAAAATTCTTAATTTTTTAACCATAAGTAGAAAAATAAGTAACATGTAAGCAGTTTTATTACAATTACAATGTCAGTCACAGTCCAATATTAATATTAAATGTATACAATTCATTTTCACAATGTTTTATCTCAATATATATTTCACTGCATAACTATCACAGGGTTTATGGCAAATATTTTTGCAAAGAGTGTAACAATTAAGTGTAGTGCTTTTAAAGGTCATAACTCTATCTTTGTACTGAAGAACAAGGGTAAAAAAAAGAGGGTAAAAAGGGTTAGTAATTATATCTGAAAAGTTAGAAAATAGAAACTCCTTCCTGGGTCCAAGAGATAATACAGCAGGTAGATGCTTCCCTGAAATACCGGGATCTATCCCTGGAACCTAATATGTTCTATAAACCCTGCCAGAAATGAACCCTTAACACAGGAACAAGTATAAATCCTGAGAAACACTGAGTGTGGTCCCAAAACAATAAAACAAACAGTAAAAGAAACTCCATCACCCTCAGTAAAATGTGCATTTTCCTCAGGTTATTTAAAATTGGTCTCACATGAGTTCTTTCATCTAACTGGGTGTTCAGCGTAACATATGTGATACCAGGGATCAAATAAGGGTGGTCACATACTAGGCAAGCACTTTACCCACTGTATTCTTTCTCTGGCCCCATCCAACTCTATATTGCAATTGTTCTGACAGATGCTTGAAGCAGATGTTTTTCGTAACCATTATTGCCTAAGGATTTGAGACTAAAGAAGTCTGATGTGCAACTTCTTTTCAAATTTGGACTGTCACCACAACTCTCTTTTGTAGTGTAAAACTAAAAATTTGAGAGAAACTAACTTCAAATAGATTTAAAAATAATTTATTTCACAAATACAATATGTTTTTAATATTAAATTTTGAAATATTATCTTTCTCAAAGCTTCGATTTAATAGAATGAAGAAACAAATCAGTATGTTGGCTCAGCATAATCTTTTAAAAAGACAAAGTGAATTTTTTCTCTAAATGTTGCTTTTATAACAGCACATTGTATTTGTATATATTTATATTTATAGATTTTTATTAACATAAAAATAATTACATCTGTTCTTTTGTTACTGAAAAAAAAGTTTCAGGACCCATGCACAGACACTCAGTATCCTCCTGTTAAACCAATCCAGAAAATAGACAATTTTTAGAGATCACTAGTTCAAATCCTCCTTATCTGCAAAGTAAGAAATATAAAGTCTAGGCAAGGGAGAATTTTGGTCAAAGTTTTATAAGCTAGACATTGATGGGCTACTTAGTCCTCCAAACAATGTTATATATCAGTCTTTAGTTCCAAGGAATGGTTTCCATTGCTTACAAAGCAATGTATCATTTGGAGTCTCTTTGTTTTTCCAGAACTTTCTTTTTTAACTATATATTTTCCATCTCATAAAGCACACCTTCCAAAATGTCCATGAATATCTTCAATCTTTCCCTCTTAAAAACTTAAAAAGTTTCCCTATTAATGTCTACATAAGCACCTCCTATCTTAGGTGAAATCTCCTACACCCTGCCCCAACCCTCCCAAACACTCCCTCGGCCCACCCACACACACACACACACACACACACACACACACACACACACACACACACGCACACACACACACACTTAGTTGATTCTCTTTAATAAACTACATTTGTAATATTTTCCTACTTTCTTTCATTTTGCAGTAATTTGCACATGTTTCACTTTTCTTTCTCAACTTTTTTTTTAATTGAATCACTGTGAGATACAGTTACAAAGCTTTCATGTTTGAGCTTCAGTCATACAAATGATCAAACACCCATCCCTCCACCAGTGCACATTTTCTACCACCAATGTCCCCAGTATCTTCCCTGCCATCCCAACCCTCCGCCTGCCTCTATGGCAGACAATTTCCCCCATACTCTCTCTCTACTCCTGGGCATCATAGTTTGCAATATAGATACTTAGAGACTAGCACGTTTGGTCCTTTATCTACTTTCAGCACACATCTCCCATCCCGAATGATTCCTCCAACCATCATTGACTTAGTGATCCCTTCTCTATTCCATCTGCCTTCTCCCCCAGCTCATGAGGCAGGTTTCCAACTATGGAACAATATTGCTGACCCTTGTGTCTACTGTCCTTGGGTGTCAGTCTCATATTATGTTATTTTATATTCCATAAATTTAATTTTTTACAAATTCTGAATCATTTTAATAATCTCAATATTTCGTATGCTGCCTCTTTCCTAGTAAATTCTTCAATGTTAAATCATTAAATATTCTTATAATTGTACTTTTAATAATACATCCAAAAGTTACATAAAAAAATTGTGATGTAAATTTTTCTAAAACTTTTACTAAAATGTTTCTTTCACATTAACAGAATCTTGCCTTTCCCCCTTAAAGCAAGAAAACTATGTTCAAAATCAGAAAAAAATTATTAGTTTTGTTTGTTTAATTTTGTTTTATAGGTGCAATGATGAAGGGCTTTTTCTTATCTTTGAATATCCTGGCATTAACCCTGGCTTTTATGGTGAGTTAATTATTTTATTAGTTTATGTTATGGCATATGTTCTAATTATGAATAAAGAAATTATAATCCAAGATTAGAAATCCTTTTAATTAAATTACTACCCTATACAGACCTTCATTTCTTTAGGGACTAAATTCTTTAAAAGAGTAGAAGCTTGCTTAAGCCTTTTCTCCAGTTTTACACATATTAAAACATCTGCCTTTAATATCCAAACATTCTCTTATCTTTTGATATATTTCTTACCATCATAGTTACTGCCTGATTTCTTCCTGTGTTTTTGTTCAGCTTTTTGTTGTTGTGTTTAGAATTTTTCTTGAATTACATGTGTTTCAGGACTATTGGACCAAGAAAAGGTTTTTCTGTTTAAAAAAGTATTGCTTATTTTTATTACTGATATGGCTATTGCTCTGTTTGATTTGTATGCTCATTTGGAATTCTCTGGGGATTATTTCCCAATAGAAATAAACATAAGGTAATGTTACAATACTTTTTAGACTGAATATACTTGGAGGGTACTAGTCCTTGTTTTAAACTTCTTTTTTTTTATTATTTGGTTTGGTTGGTTTTCCTGCCCCACCAGCAGTACTCAGGACTTAATCCTAGGACGAGTGATTATATATGGTACAGGGGATCAAACCTGGTAGCTGTCACATGCAAGAAAAGCAACTTACCTGCTGAACTATCTCTAAGGGCCCCATATTTCTTTTATTATTAAAGCTACACTTGCTTTTTGGGTAAAATATCTTAAATTATTTCAGTAGACAATTTGAAGTCAAAGTTATTTATAAAAATTAATTTTCTTATTTAGTCTCTGAAATTCTATTTAATTTTTGCTACTCACACACTTAGACCTTGAGTTTCTTCGATAAGAACTAAACTTTAAATTGTAAGATGATGCATAAGTCCTATAGCAATCTTTTATTGATTTATTTGAACATGCTATTTCTCCCCAAAACATCTTACTATTTCACAATAACTTCAAAGTTGAGGCACACAGATAAATAATTCAACTTAAAATGAAATTTTATAGATTGCATCATTTTATATTATGGGTAGTCAAAGACATACAAGTGAAAACAGCAACGCATGGTATCTTTTATGCACTAATTTATCTTTCTTTCAACAATAATTACTATTTATTACTAAAAATTATGTGGTGGACTACATAATTTTATGGGGATTTGGTGGTTTATAAGTTGGTCAGTATATAATTCCCCAAAATCGCATTTTTTCAAACTATCCTAGGTATCAAAACTTTTTTAAAGCTTTTCATGTACAGATATTATACACATATAAAATAATTTTTTGGTTTGGGGGCCACACCCAGCTGTGCTCAAAACTTGCTTACTCCTGGCTCTGTTCTCAGGGATCACTCCTGGTGGTACTTAGGGGCTATATGTAGTGTCAGAGATCAAACCTAGGACAACCACATGCAAGGCAAGTGCCTTACCTGATGACTGTCACTCCAGTCTATAATAAAAAAGAACTTTTAAAGCTAAATAACAATAAATAAAATGTTATGAGATAGTAATTGGTTTTATACCTTCAACTATAAATATGCAGATGTGAAATAGTTAAGTAGGAAATTTTGAGTGCTTATTCTTCTTTCAACAAAGCAAGAGATACCTAACAAACCTTAAAACTAATATGTAATATAGATTGATAAAATGCATCAATGTGTCTAGATTATCAGGCACGTTTTCTAGAAGTTTCATATTGCTTCTTATTTATTTATTTGACTTTTGGAGTCAAACCCGACGTGCTCAGGGATTACTCCTGACTCTGAACTCAGTAATTACTCGTGGTGGTGTTCCCATCCCATATGGGATGTTGAGGATCGAACCCTGATCGGCCATGTGCAAGACAACTGTTCTACTATCTTTCTGGACCCCTCATATTACTTTTTATTTTTTATTTTATTTTTTCTCTATTAAGATGTTTTCTTTTTTTCCTTTTTTTATTAATTTTAATGAATCACCATGAAATACAGTTGCAGACTTACAAACTTTGATCATTGCATTTCAATCAAACAATGTTTAAGTACCCATTCCACCACCAGTGCCCATTCTCCACCACCGATTTTCACAGTATCCCTTTCCCCACCCCCACGCATTCCCACCCTCTGCCTTTCTGGAAGGGACATTCTTACTCTGTCATTTTGAGTGTTATGCTTTGCAATACAGGTATCAAGCGGCCATCATGTTTGGTCCATAGTCTACTTTCATCATGCATCTACTATGCGTGGGATCCTTCCAACCATCATTTACTTAGTGCTCTTCTATCCATCCCAGATACCTTTTAGTTTTCTCTTTGGGCCACATTTCATAGTGCGGAGAACCATGCAGCAGTACTGCATGCAAAGCTGTGTTCAGCTCATTGACCTAGCAGTTGGAGTCCTTTTAAAACTATTTAGTGGGAATTTAACATAGAGAAAAAAATATGACAAACTATGATTGTATTTCCCAAAGGTATCTGAAGTATTTTACATTTAAGGGATATGTATACAAACATCTAAGTTGGAGCTAACATTTTTTAAAATATTTAAAATTATTGCCTCATCTCAAAAGTTTCTAAAGTCTTTGTGAGTTTTTGGAGCTTGTGTGTGTGTGTGCGTGTGTGTGTGTGTGTATGTGTGTGTGTTTGTGTCTAAGTGTATGTATGTACATACCCCATGAAAATTGTTTTATCACCACTGTTTCCCTGTGCATGTTGCAATCCATTTCATTCATTCATTCATCATCCTGTTATTCGTCGATTGGCTCGAGCAGGCCCCAGTAACGTCTCTTTCATCCTAGCCCTGAGATTATATTCAAGGCTCTTTAGGAGAATGAGACCCATCATTGTTACTGGTATTTGGCATATTTGGTGCGCCACGGGGAGTTTGCCAGACTCTGCCCTGTGGGCAGGCTATATTCGATTGCAATCCAAAATTTTTTAAAAAAATGCTCTCTTAAAAGCACACATTGACATTGGAGAGACACTGAAGGGGTAAAGGCTACTGCAGACTGATGACTAGCACCATATATAGTCCCTTGAGCACTCTCAGGACAGACCCTTCAGCACAGAATCAGGGGTAAACTGGGCATGGCTCCCCCACCACAATATCTATTTAGAACACCACTAATTGTATAACATTTATGGATTAATTTTATGCTGCAGGCAATATCTGAAATTTAAGTAAACTTCTCAAGTCATTTTAATAGAACAGATAAAGAAAAATTGTGCCAATGTTGTTTTCCTAATTACATTTTAATAAATTTTTTAATATATATTTAATTTTTTCACTTAGGCAAATATGAACAGGGTTCAAATGATCATATGACTTCTGATATTTTTGGTTTGGGGGCCACAGCTACTATGTTCAGGAGCCACATTTGGCCCCTGCTCAGGTGCCACTCCTGGCTCTCTGGTTAGGGACCACACCTGATTCTCTGCTCAAGGACCACACCCGTCATCGTGTCCCAGAACCAAGTGCCATGTAAGATTGTTGAGGCCATTGTCTGGGCTGCAACTGCACAGAAGGCAAGTGCCTTAACATCTCTACCATTTCTGTTCTTAATCTTTGTACTAAAAATAGTGGCTTCTAAAGACAACTTAATCATGCAGCTATTGTTATTATTTTAAATAGTATATTGCTGTAACATACATATTAGTATGTTGCTTCTGGAGTGGTACCCAGGCCTTTAAATTTTTTTAAAAAATAGAAATTTGTGTACTATATTAAAGTAAGAGCAAATAATCCACTTTCTCCTTATTAAAAAATATTTTTATTAAAACATTAAAACAAACTACACCTTGCCCTGTTAATTTTTTTAACTTCTTGTTTTTCACGTTTTTCAAATCTCACCAGGGTGCTGAGGCACAAAACACAGAACAAAAACAAGAACAGCCAACAGTAAGTATTTTCTTATTATTTCTATTAGAGATGTGACTTGTGAAGTTTATTTTCTGCGAAGACTAATGATAGTGAAATAACATGTCTAAAAATTAAATATCTACTCTCCATTAATATCTGCTCTTTATACATATGGGACTGGGAAGTAGTTTAATGGTTAGGGTTCATGCCTAACATGAGCAACTATAGCAAAGCTTTCTGTAAGATAGTTCTAACTGTTGTACATATCCCTATCAATAATCATTCTGAGTTCTACCATATAGACTAGACTGAAAACTATGGCTTACCATACAAGATTACTTCATCCAATTCGTCAGAACTATTATAACTCTTAATATTTATTGCCCGCACAGCAAAACTTGGCAAGCTCCCAGTGACGTATTTGATATGCCAAGCACAGTAACAACAAGTCTCACAATGGAGACATTACTGGGCCCACTCAAGCAAATCGATAAACAATGGGAGGACAGTGGACAGTGGACAATATTCATTGGAAATTTTAGTAGGAAAGTGTAAAATGATGCTATCATTAATTTCAGTACTTATAAAATGTACATATTCGGCACCAAATGTTTTATCATTTAAGAATTCAATTATCTGCACATTTCAACCAAAATAATGCCATTCTGTGTAATTTTTTTTGCAGTTCTGTGAGAATGAGAAAATCTTTCTTGATCAGCACATTCTCAAGCTTGCTCCAGTTCATTATCTGCTGAATAACATTTTTCACTATGTATCCAGTTACTACCCACATAAACCAGTTGTGCCCATGGGTAATCAGTACATGTTTTATCCATTTTATGCCAAGCCAGTTGCAGCCATGCCACATATCCAAATTCCTCAATGGGAAATTCTGAAAAATATGTATGCATCCTCTATGATCCGTCAGCCAACCCTATACCAATCATCTATGTCCACTGCCCCCAAGAATACTCAGGATAAAACAGCTACCCCTACCATTAATCCAACCACTACT